TACCGACGTCCTCCCCGCCACTATTTCGGTAAAAAGCGGAGTCATGTGAGGAAACTGTGAAAAGGTCAACAATGAAATTACCTTTGATCATATTGTTCCAATATTTACTGGATTGGAGGATCAATATGAATGAACTTCTGGGTCTGTAGGTATCAAGTGTCTCAGAGTGGGAGTGCTGACCTAGGATCAGGTCTTCCTGTCCATGCAATCTTATTCATTGTGATCTAAAAGGCTAAACTGATCCTACTCTGAGATGCTTGATGCATACAGCCCATGGAGACATCAATATTGTATTTGGCAGAAGACAGAATGAAGTTGAATAAAACACTGAAAGCTGAACTAGTATGACACCATGTGGTGGGTTGGTCTTAGTACACTTACATTTACATTTACATTTACGTCATTTAGCAGACGCTCTTATCCAGAGCGACTTACAAATTGGTGCATTCACCTTATAGCCAGTGGGATAACCACTTTACAATGTTTTTTTGGGGGGGGCGGGGGGTGGGGTGGGGTAGGGCGGGGGTAGAAGGATTACTTTATCCTATCCCAGGTATTCCTTAAAGAGGTGGGGTTTCAAATGTCTCCGGAAGGTGGTGAGTGACTCCGCTGTCCTGGCGTCGTGAGGGAGCTTGTTCCACCATTGGGGTGCCAGAGCAGCGAACAGTTTTGACTGGGCTGAGCGGGAACTATGCTTCCGCAGAGGTAGGGGGAGCCAGCAGGCCAGAGGTGGATGAACGCAATGCCCTCGTTTTGGGTGTAGGGTCTGATCAGAGCCTGAAGGTACGGAGGTGCCGTTCCCCTCACAGCTCCGTAGGCAAGCGCCATGGTCTTGTAGCAGATGCGAGCTTCAACTGGAAGCCAGTGGAGTGTGTGGAGGAGCGGGGTGACGTGAGAGAACTTGGGAAGGTTGAACACCGGACGGGCTGCGGCGTTCTGGATGAGTTGTAGGGGTTTAATGGCACAGGCAGGGAGCCCAGCCAACACTTCTCAGCCTGTTCCTAACAACAGCTCACCTTACTGGACCAGGGGGAAATTATTATTAGAAAGTGGAGGGGAAAAAAAAAAGAGGGAGGAAAATGTATTGTGGACCAGATAAGAGTCAGTTACTTGATGTTGATTTGGAAGAACGTATGCAAAGATTTGTCAGACTGACTTTGCAACTTCATCAAATGAGATTATTGGGTTCAAACTCATTATTTATTCCATTCAAATATTTGTATATTACATGGGTCCAAGTTAAATAATACAAAACACTGTGCTGTGAATATCCTTTCCCAGAATTCCCAGAACCTCTAAAACACTGGAACATATGCACATAAGAACAAAGAAACTTGGAATTGAGAGTTTTCTACACCGGGGAATGAGTTGAACGTGACATTTTACGCCCCTTCTATACCCTTTTTGGTACATCCATTTCTTAGCAATTAACAGAATTTCACACACAAAAAAAGGCTTTCCAAAAAGACATAAAAAACAACAATAATCTTGGCTTACTTTTCATGGAAAGTTATTGGGACACCGAGTCCACTGAGACTGGCAGGCACAACAGGCAATGTAAGAAATAATCTATCACATCTTGATTGGACTTAAAAAGAAATAGAGCGTGTAAGAGGGTTCTCCTATGGCTGGTGCCCTCTACATCGAGATACATCTTCAAAGCAGGTGTGTGTGTGCATATGTTGATCAGACAGCAAGCTTTTCCAGGAACTGTCATACCAAACGTTGATTCCCTCTGATCTAATCAAACACATTTAGATAAATCCACAGTGTGACTTCCGTGTTGACGAATCAGTAGCGTTTTCAGCTTAAGGACACAGTTGATGATCACAGTAACATGGGGAGGGGCTTGTACTGAACTGTAGCTCCACTCACTGGCAACCTTGGTTTAGACGGAAGGCAGGGCTTTTGGCGAGGTGTAAACTGAACGTATTGGAGCTTGCATCCTAGATGTCAACCCGCGGGATGTAAGGCAAGTTATTATGGGTAATGGCAGTGTGGCTGTTGTGTTCAAACCCCCGTTCATTGGTCAATTAAAAGGCAGGGTGGGGGTGGCCCGGAAAATCCCAGGGATATTTGGTCCATCCAGTTGAGTCACTGGTCATTCTCATGCTGAATCCCAAACCAGTCCCTTTCCCCTCACCCCTCAATTTGCGCTTTCACGCCCCTTCGATAGCCACTTCGACCGAGCCAGCAAAGCTGCCAGGTCCAGAGCGAAGTGCTATCCCAACATGTAACGCAATATGTTTGGAGTTTGCACAATTTCATACAAGAGAATGGAGCATTTGTTTGTCTGATTTCGAGGCTTGACACATGTAACAAAATGAAATACCTCCCAAATTAAATGTTTAACTATTACAGAGGTTTATATCTTGTAAAATTACAAGGGGAATTTGTTAATTAGAATTTCATGCTCGTATTATTTAAAATGTCATACATTAATTGCCACGAGTGCGTCCCAAAGTTAATGGGTTTTATTGATCCCTTCGCCACTCTGGGAGTTTCGTCAGCAACACGTGACAACGGAGGACCATGTGTTGGTAGGGGTGAGGTATAGGCGAGAGGCTGGTTTGGGATTCAGTGGTACTTTACCTCTAAGACAGCGCAGACAGTGAGTTAGTGTTGGCGAACGCCTAGGAATTATAATGTTCTCGTAGTCACCTTCCTTGCTTTGAAAATACTAAATAATTCACTCTTAAATTACTTTAAAAAATAAATTAAAATTTTCTCCATATAGAAATAAATATTTCTCTGCACTTAAGCCAATTAAAAACTTTAAACTCAAGACTAAATCATTACAGATAAATATGTTAAGCCACCATCTAATTTATGAGTCATCCCACTAAATACTGAACAAGTCTTAACTGATACCATCTGCCAACAACATGGCTACTAACCCACATAGATACAGGCAAAGTCATGGGAAGATGAAAAATAAAATCATTATTTGGCAAATCAGTTTTGTTAAAAAAGGGGATTTGTGCTCGGGATGATAAAACACATTTCCTCTTTGACCAAGTGTGACCCTTTGCAAACCCCTCAGGGTGAGACATCGGGCAAAAACACTTCCAGACTTCCTCAGCCGAAAACTGTCAACATCTTCCGCCCCTTTCAAAACAGAGTGGCTTGATCGGTCTCAAAATCCTGTCTTTTCAGCACCCTCTTTCACTGTTTAAGATTCCTCCGTTCCACCACCGTCCTCACAAGTGCTACTGCAGATTCTTCAGGATGCGCCCGTAGCGGAAGTCGTAGACGTGGCGACACATGAACACTAGGTTGGGGTCGATGTCCGTGGGCACACAGCAGTGGGCAGGGACGGTGCATTCGACACAAGGCGGCACCACTCTGGTGGCACTTTCAGGGAGACCATCACCCCGACGCGTCACCAAGGCACAATATCTGAAACACCAAAGGACATGTCAAACAGACCGTGCAAATGAGTGAACAAATACAATGCAACAAATAAAACGTAATACAATCCACTCAACATCTTGTGTCTCCCACATACTATTTATTCTCACACCCCATCTCCCATCAGAGATAAACAGACCTTACCTACAGTACTGTGCTAACGTCAACACGTAGCACTTGTCTTCAATGCAGGCCACACTGTTTTCATCCTGATGCCGAGATGCAAAAATTTCATTCTGGAAATGAAGTTGGGTGACAAGAGGGGAGGAAAACAATGCATGAATCTTCTCTCATGAACCAAAACAAATCCCTTGCTTAAAGGGATAGTTCAGCAATTTAACATAATGTATTTACATATATCAAAATATGTCATGGCTGAACTATCCCTTTAATATCCCCTAACTACATCTATCTGACATCATCAAGACCGCCTTGGGAAGGTCTATACAGGCTTTTCTGATGTGCAAACTGACTAGCCAAAATCTAAAACTGACCCTTTAACAAACCCTTAACCCTAATCAATTCTAAAAATAAAAATATCGGTTTGCACGTCAGAAAAGTCTGTATAGCCCTTTTCGACCCACTTCCCCATCAGGAAATCACACAGTCATGGGAAATCAAAAAATGGTGCAGTCTAAGTCTTGATTTAATCCTAGCTGGTTTTCCTTACAGAGACTTGTGTAAAACAGAGCAGTAGCTTTGGTCTGCTCAAAGCCCAGGGTATTCAGTAGAGCACACTGTAGCAAAATGTTTTACAACCGGTAATGAAAATCTGTGTTTTCATTGGACAAATTTAGGTAGTGCCTTCCGGTTTCAAAACGTTTTCTTCCTACTGAACACGCCCCAGTGCTCTCTCGCAGAGCATTGTGAATAAGGCTTCTGTTTATTATTCATAGCCTGGGTGAACAAAGTGTGTTTGTTCCTGGGGGATATTGATAATGGGAAGCCTGTACAGCCTATTTCTCCAGGAAATACATAATTAAACGGAAACAATGTGTTTGCCATCTCTTTTCCCATGGAGAACCAGGCTGGGGCTGGGCAAACATTGTAGATGGCAGCCACAGTGTGAACTGGGCTTTCCAGAGAACTCACCTCACAGTGTGAACTGGGCTTTCCCGGAGAACTCACCTCACAGTGTGAACTGGGCTTTCCCAGAGAACTCACCTCACAGTGTGAACTGGGCTTTCCTGGAGAACTCACCTCACAGTGTGAGCTGGGCTTTCCCGGAGAACTCACCTCACAGTGTGAACTGGGCTTTCCCGGAGAACTCACCTCACAGTGTGAACTGGGCTTTCCCGGAGAACTCACCTCACAGTGTGAACTGGGCATTCCCGGAGAACTCACCTCACAGTGTGAACTGGGCATTCCCGGAGAACACCTCACAGTGTGAACTGGGCTTTCCGGAGAACTCACCTCACAGTGTGAACTGGGCTTTCCCGGAGAACTCACCTCACAGTGTGAACTGGGCTTTCTGGAGAACTCACCACCACAGTGTGAACTGGGCTTTCCCGGAGAACTCACCTCACAGTGTGAACTAGGCTTTCTGGAGAACTCACCACCACAGTGTGAACTGGGCTTTCCCGGAGAACTCACCTCACAGTGTGAACTGGGCTTTCTGGAGAACTCACCTCACAGTGTGAACTGGGCTTTCCCGGAGAACTCACCTCACAGTGTGTGCTGGGATTGCGTCCTCCCTGTGTGTGTTCTGGGCGGTAGAACCAAAACAGACTCATCATCATCTCCCCTGAGGACACACAGACAGTGCCATTTTCAAAGTGAGAAGAGGATAACTAAAGTTGTATCAAATTGAACATTTGAAGTGATGTGTAGGGATCCCATCCATAATCAATTCTACAAAAGTTGATGTGGCAAACAGTGGTCTGTTTTGAGCGTTTGATTGCTGACTGGAATGCCAGATTGGCAGGTTTTGTACTTTTTCATACTACTGCATTGGTTCCATTGTGCCAGGCAAGCTCAATTGAGCGCCGACCAAGTATTTGAACCGGTTTTTAAACATGGCTATAGTTTTGTTTTTCATCCATCTGTGTCAGTTTAGCTCTGCATGAAAGAGGCAGAGCTTCACCTGACTCGGGGTGCTTCCACAGGGCTGAGATTTTGGCTACGTAGGGCAGAGACTTCTTCCTGGTGCCGGAGCGCAGAAGGACTGTGTCTCGAACCCGAATGACCTCCCCGTCCCGCTGTACTCCTTCAAAACATTTGCGCAACACTGTTGTCTCTTCCCCCTGGAAACATAGTCAATATGTCATTGTTGTTGGAACATACTATTAGCATTGTTATTAGCACATGCTAAGGACCCGGTTATTACCATTGTTGTTAGCACAGAAGTAAGAATGGATGGTAATATTATCATACATACAGATTACGTTTTCCTTCAGAGGAAATTCTAATATTCTGTAGCCTCAGCTAGCTACCTTACAAGGTACAACCAGTATCCCTTAACACACAGCAACACATACCACAGTGAAAACCTCCTTCTCGAAGGGCACGCCCACGGGCAGCCAGCCATTGGTTGCCCGGCGACGGGTGATCCTCTGCTGCTTGGCAGCTCCGCTGGCGGTGGGCCCCAGCTGCTGCTTGTCTTGAATATGAGGGCAGACGGACGGCGAGCCACCATGCACCCCAGACCGAGAGCCGCTGGGTGGCTTGGCACTCTGAGGACACTCCCGGGCCACTTGCAGCGGGACCCTTGGTTGGCTGGGGTCCGATAGAGGGTTCTGGAGGCGGGGCACTGATTGGCCAGCTGGGGGAGCGCTGGGGGTGGCGAGGCAGCCGTGTGCGGGGGAAACTTGGACAGGGGGGGGGCTGTGGTCCTCCAGAGATGAGGAGTCGTCTTCTATGGGGAAAAGTGGAAGTGTCAGACACTAGAGTGATCGGTCCCTTAAAACACTCACACTCACCAGCACATAGATCAACACAAAAAACTCCACACTCATCCTCTCCTTTCCTGCCACTCTGTTTCAACACCACTCAGCTTAAGCGCCACTAATATAGAAACAGCGACGCTGCATGCAGCAGAGATAAGAACACTGTCTGTATCCTCTGTCTTAATTGTAGCTGTGAGTCACAGGGGTTGGCCACAGGGGCTGGCCACAGAGGCTGGCCACAGGGGCTGGCCACAGGGGCTGGCCACAAATGCACATCAGAGTAGCAGAGATGGAGTATTTGTGGTGGCCTGATGTACCCCAGACAGGCAGTGTGGAATAAAAGAGCCGGTTAAGGATATTGAGAGGGATCAGAGGGAGGCGACACTGTATCGCTTGCTGATATACATCTGTACAAGCAAAAGGCTCTCTGAGACATTTACAAAGAGCGCACACGTAAAAGGGGTAAAGAAATCATCTTACACATCCACCGAACAGCCAATATGCAGCACTGCCTTCAGGGCGCGAACCAACAGAGCTGCTAAAAAGGTTTCGTATAGGCATCAGTACGGCTTTGAAAAGAAAATTGACGGGTGTGACTTACGTTTTATCTTGTATATACTAGCATTTGTATCCGTTACGTGTGAACGTTGCTGTTGATATATTCACATCTTTCTGTTATCTGACTTGACACAACTGAACTTCCTTCTGGAAAAATGTCATAATTATGATACTGTAATAATGATGCAGTGGAAGGCCTTTTTTTTTGTGAATAGCATTTAGCCACCTATTTTATATTATAGCATTTAGCCACCTATTTTCTATTATAGCGTTTAGCCACCTATTTTCTATTATAGCGTTTAGCCACCTATTTTATATTATAGCATTTAGCCACCTATTTTATATTATAGCGTTTAGCCACCTATTTTATATTATAGCGTTTAGCCACCTATTTTATATTATAGCATTTAGCCACCTATTTTATATTATAGCATTTAGCCACCTATTTTATATTATAGCATTTAGCCACCTATTTTATATTATAGCGTTTAGCCACCTATTTTATATTATAGCATTTAGCCACCTATTTTATATTATAGCATTTAGCCACCTATTTTATATTATAGCATTTAGCCACCTATTTTATATTATAGCGTTTAGCCACCTATTTTATATTATCTTGTATATATATAAATATCTTGCAATCTACTGTAGAGATAGCCTGCAGAGCTCCATCATACTATCCAGGTCTGTGCCCAAACAGTTTGAGCTTCTACTTCTAAAAACCCACCTTTCCAGAAATAAATCTCTCACTGTTGCCGCTTGCTACAGACCCCCCTCAGCCCCCAGCTGTGCCCTGGACACCATATGTGAATTGATTGCCCCCCATCTATCCTCAGAATTCGTACTGCTTGGTGACCTAAACTGGGATATGCTTAACACCCCGGCCATCCTACAATCTAAACTAGATGCCCTCAATCTCACACAAATTATCAACGAACCTACCAGGTACAACCCTAAATCCGTAAACATGGGTACCCTCATAGATATCATCCTGACTAACTTACCCTCTAAATACACCTCCGCTGTCTTCAACCAGGATCTCTGCGATCACTGCCTTATTGCCTGCGTCCGTAACGGGTCCGCGGTCAAACGACCACCCCTCATCACTGTCAAACGCTCCCAAAAACACTTCAGGCGAGCAGGCCTTCCTAATTGACCTGGCCCAGGTATCCTGGATGGATATAGATCTCATTCCGTCAGTAGAGGATGCCTGGTTGTTCTTTAAAAGTAATTTCCTCTCAATCTTAAATAGACATGCCCCATTCAAAAAATACAGAACTAAGAACAGATATAGCCCCTGGTTCTCCTCAGACTTGACTGCCCTTGACCAGCACAAAAACATTCTGTGGCGTACTGCATTAGCATCAAATAGCCCCCGCGATATGCAACTTTTCAGGGAAGTTAGGAACCAATATACACAAGCAGTTAGGAAAGCAAAGGCTAACTTTTTCAAACAGAAATTTGCATCCTGTAGCACTAACTCCAAAAAGTTTTCCATGGACACTGTAAAGTCCATGGAAAATAAGAGCACTTCCTCCCAGCTGCCCACTGCACTGAGGCTAGGAAACACTATCACCACCGATAAATCTACAATAATCGAGAATTTCAACAAGCATTTTGCTACGGCTGGCCATGCTTTCCACCTGGCTACCACTACCCCCGGCCACCAGCTCTGCACCCTCCGCTGCAACTTGCCCATGCCCCCCCCGCTTCTCCTTCACACAAATCCAGACAGCTGATGTTCTAAAAGAGCTGCAAAATCTGGACCCCTACAAATCATCTGGGCTTGACAATCTGGACCCTTTCTTTCTAAAACTAGCCGCCGAAATTGTCGCAACCCCTATTACTAGCCTGTTCAACCTCTCTTTCGTAACGTCTGAGATCCCCAGAGATTGGAAAGCTGCCGCGGTCATCCCCCTCTTCAAAGGGGGTGACACTTTAGATCCAAACTGTTACAGACCCATATCCATCCTGCCCTGCCTTTCAAAAGTTTTTGAAAGCCAAGTCAACAAACAGATCACCGACCATTTCGAATCCCACCGTACCTTCTCCGCTATGCAATCCGGTTTCCGAGCTGGTCATGGGTGCACTTCAGCCACGCTCAAGGTCCTAAACGATATTATAACCACGATCGATAATAGACAGTACTGTGCAGCCGTTTTCATTGACCTGGCCAAGGCTTTCGACTCTGTCAACCACCGCATTCTTATTGGCAGACTAAATAGCCTTGGTTTCTCTAATGACTGCCTCGCCTGGTTCACCAACTACTTCTCAGATAGAGCTCAATGTGTCAAATCGGGGGGCCTGTTGTCTGGACCTCTGGCAGTCTCTATGGGGGTGCCACAGGGTTCAATTCTTGGGCCGACTCTTTTCTCTGTGTATATCAATGACGTCGCTCTTGCTGCTGGTGACTCTCAGATCCACCTCTACGCAGACGACACCATTTTGTATACATCTGGCCCTTCATTGGACACTGTGTTAACAAACCTCCAAACGAGCTTCAATTCCATACAACACTCCTTCAGTAGCCTCCAACTGCTCTTAAACACTAGTAAAACTAAATGCATGCTCTTCAACCGAACGCTGCTTGCACCCGCCCACCCGACTAGAATCACTACTCTCGACGGGTCTAACCTAGAGTATGTGGACAACTACAAATATCTAGGTGTCTGGTTAGACTGTAAACTCTCCTTCCAGACTAACATTAAGAATCTCCAATCCAAAGTTAAATCTAGAATCGGTTTCCTATTTCGCAACAAAGCCTCCTTCACTCATGCTGCCAAACATGCCCTCGTAAAACTGACTATCCTACCGATCCTTGACTTCGGCGATGTCATTTACAAAATAGCCTCCAACACTCTACTCAGCAAATTGGATGTAGTCTATCACAGTGCCATCCGTTTTGTCTCCAAAGCCCCATATAATACCCACCACTGTGACCTGTATCTATCATTCCAGTGTTAATACTAATTGTAATTATTTTGCACTATAGCCTATTTTATTGCCTTACCTCCATAACTTGCTAAATTTGCACACTGTATATTATATGTATTTCTGTTGTATTTTTGACTTTGTTTTGTTTTACCCCATATGTAACTCTGTGTTGTTGTTTTTTATCGCACTGCTTTGCTTTATCTTGGCCAGGTCGCAGTTGTAAATGAGAACTTGTTCTCAACTGGTTTACCTGGTTAAATAAAGGTGAAAAAAAAATATATATATTATATATATATATATATTATAGCATTTATGTTCCTTACCTCCCATCATCTCAGTCAGCACTCATAACACTACTGACTGTTCCTGGAAATCTAGGATTACATAAAGCTGATGCATGATTTGCTCTGTACAAAAGGTAATGGAGATGCTGTAATTTACTGTCATGTAATGTAGGAGTGTGTGGAGTCTTTCAAAACCCCATAGGAATCGACCAACCACACTAGTGTAGTGCAGGTTCACCTGGCCATTAAGGGCCAGTCAGGATGAGCGATGATACAATAAATGTCACATTATAATAGACTCTCGCAATCGGATAGCTTGTGGTAGCAGGAAATAAAAAATGACGTCTCGCTCACTTCTCTGGGGAAAAGGGTCAATTTTTGTGTCACTTCAAAGCAGGCAGCTCAGAGGCAACAAGACATATACCAATTTACCTAAGGTAATAGCACCTCTGAGCGGGCAACGCCAACGACACTCCATCTTGATCTGTAATCAGCATACTTAATGAGGTCATGAGTGCTGCTGTGGTCCCCGACAAATACACTGCTCAAAAAAATAAAGGGAACACTTAAACAACACAATGTAACTCCAAGTCAATCACACTTCTGTGAAATCAAACTGTCCACTTAGGAAGCAACACTGATTGACAATACATGTCACATGCTGTTGTTCAAATGGAATAGACAACAGGTGGAAATGATAGGCAATTAGCAAGACACCCCCAATAAAGAAGTGGTTCTGCAGGTGGTGACCACAGACCACGTCTCAGTTCCTATGCTTCCTGGCTGATGTTTTGGTCACTTTTGAATGCTGGCGGTGCTTTCACTCTAGTGGTAGCATGAGACGGAGTCTACAACCCACACAAGTGGCTCAGGTAGTGCAGCTCATCCAGGATGGCACATCAATGCGAGCTGTGGCAAGAAGGTTTGCTGTGTCTGTCAGCGTAGTGTCCAGAGCATGGAGGCGCTACCAGGAGACAGGCCAGTACATCAGGAGACGTGGAGGAGGCCGTAGGAGGGCAACAACCCAGCAGCAGGACCGCTACCTCCGCCTTTGTGCAAGGAGGAGCAGGAGGAGCACTGCCAGAGCCCTGCAAAATGACCTCCAGCAGGCCACAAATGTGCATGTGTCTGCTCAAACGGTCAGAAACAGACTCCATGAGGGTGGTATAAGGGCCCGACGTCCACAGGTGGGGGTTGTGCTTACAGCCCAACACCGTGCAGGACGTTTGGCATTTGCCAGAGAACACCAAGATTGGCAAATTCGCCACTGGCGCCCTGTGCTCTTCACAGATGAAAGCAGGTTCACACTGAGCACATGTGACAGACGTGACAGAGTCTGGAGACGCCGTGGAGAACGTTCTGCTGGCTGCAACATCCTCCAGCATGACCGGTTTGGCGGTGGGTCAGTCATGGTGTGGGGTGGCATTTCTTTGGGGGGCCGCACAGCCCTCCATGTGCTCGCCAGAGGTAGCCTGACTGCCATTAGGTACCGAGATGAGATCCTCAGACCCCTTGTGAGACCATATGCTGGTGCGGTTGGCCCTGGGTTCCTCCTAATGCAAGACAATGCTAGACCTCATGTGGCTGGAGTGTGTCAGCAGTTCCTGCAAGAGGAAGGTATTGATGCTATGGACTGGCCCGCCCGTTCCCCAGACCTGAATCCAATTGAGCACATCATGTCTCGCTCCATCCACCAACGCCACGTTGCACCACAGACTGTCCAGGAGTTGGCGGATGCTTTAGTCCAGGTCTGGGAGGAGATCCCTCAGGAGACCATCCGCCACCTCATCAGGAGCATGCCCAGGCATTGTAGGGAGGTCATACAGGCACGTGGAGGCCACACACACTACTGAGCCTCATTGTGACTTGTTTTAAGGACATTACATCAAAGTTGGATCAGCCTGTAGTGTGGTTTTCCACTTTAATTTTGAGGGTGACTCCAAATCCAGACCTCCATGGGTTGATAAATTTGATTTCCATTGATATTTTTTTGTGTGATTTTGTTGTCAGCACATTCAACTATGTAAAGAAAAAAGTATTTAATAAGATTATTTCATTCATTCAGATCTAGGATGTGTTGTTTAAGTGTTCCCTTTATTTTTTTGAGCAGTGTTACGATCTGACCACAGACCAGCTGAGAATAAATTCCCTCAGTAAGAATGGCCCTGTTCTGTCGTCATCCACTGCTCCGGAGGCAGTACCGTAAAGGGGCTTTGGGACTGTGGGACTCCTGGCTGATATAACATGTGGAATCATTTTAGCCTGTCTTGTGTGTACAGTATGGAGCTCTGCTACAAAGATTAACAAACCCTATATACATACATATATATCTATATACACACACATACAGTGGGGGAAAACAAGTATTTAGTCAGCCACCAATTGTGCAAGTTCTCCCACTTAAAAAGATGAGAGAGGCCCGTAATTTTCATCATAGGTACACGTCAACTATGACAGACAAATTGAGAAAAAAAATCCAGAAAATCACATTGTAGGATTTTTAATAAATTTATTTGCAAATTATGGTGGAAAATAAGTATTTGGTCACCTACAAACAAGCAAGATTTCTGGCTCTCACAGACCTGTAACTTCTTCTTTAAGAGGCTCCTCTGTCCTCCACTCGTTACCTGTATTAATGGCACCTGTTTGAACTTGTTATCAGTATAAAAGACACCTGTCCACAACCTCAAACAGTCACACTCCAAACTCCACTATGGCCAAGACCAAAGAGCTGTCAAAGGACACCAGAAACAAAATTGTAGACCTGCACCAGGCTGGGAAGACTGAATCTGTAATAGGTAAGCAGCTTGGTTTGAAGAAATCAACTGTGGGAGAAATTATTAGGAAATGGAAGACATACAAGACCACTGATAATCTCCCTCGATCTGGGACTCCACGCAAGATCTCACCCCGTGGGGTCAAAATGATCACAAGAACGGTGGGCAAAAATCCCAGAACCACACGGGGGGACCTAGTGAATGACCTGCAGAGAGCTGGGACCAAAGTAACAAAGCCTACCATCAGTAACACACTACGCCGCCAGGGACTCAAATCCTGCAGTGTCCCCCTGCTTAAGCCAGTACATGTCCAGGCCCGTCTGAAGTTTGCTAGAGTGCATTTGGATGATCCAGAAGAGGATTGGGAGAATGTCATATGATCAGATGAAACCAAAATATAACTTTTTGGTCAAAACTCAACTCGTCGTGTTTGGAGGACAAAGAATGCTGAGTTGCATCCAAAGAACACCATACCTACTGTGAAGCATGGGGGTGGAAACATCATGCTTTGGGGCTGTTTTTCTGCAAAGGGAGCAGGACGACTGATCCGTGTAAAGGAAAGAATGAATGGGGCCATGTATCGTGAGATTTTGAGTGAAAACCTCCTTCCATCAGCAAGGGCATTGAAGATGAAACGTGGCTGGGTCTTTCAGCATGACAATGATCCCAAACACACCGCCCAGGCAACGAAGGAGTGGCTTCGTAAGAACATTTCAAGGTCCTGGAGTGGCCTAGCCAGTCTCCAGATCTCAACCCCATAGAAAATCTTTGGAGGGAGTTGAAAGTCCGTGTTGCCCAGCGACAGCCCCAAAACATCACTGCTCTAGAGGAGATCTTCATGGAGGAATGGGCCAAAATACCAGCAACAGTGTGTGAAAACCTTGTGAAGACTTACAGAAAACGTTTGACCTGTGTCATTGCCAACAAAGGGTATATAACAAAGTATTGAGAAACTTTTGTTATTGACCAAATACTTATTTTCCACCATAATTTGCAAATAAATTCATTAAAAATCCTACAATGTGATTTTCTGGAATTTTTTTCTCATTTTGTCTGTCATAGTTGACGTGTACCTATGATCAAAATTACAGGCCTCTCTCATCTTTTTAAGTGGGAGAACTTGCACAATTGGTGGCTGACTTAAATACTTTTTTCCCCACTGTACATATACACACACACGTTTGGGGTCACTTAGAAATGTCCTTGTTTTCGAAAGAAAAGCAATTTTTTTGTCCATTAAAATAACATATAATTGATCAGAAATACAGTGTAGACATTGTTAATGGCTATTGTAGCTGGAAACGGCAGATTTTTAATGGAATATCTACATAGGCGTACAGAGGCCCATTATCAGCAACCATGAGTCCTGTGTTCCAATGGCACGTTGTGTTTGCTAATCCAAGTTTATCATTTTAAAAGGCTAATTGATCATTAGAAAACCCTTTTGCAATTATGTTAGCACAGCTGAAAACTGATGTGCTGATTAAAGAAGCAATACAACTGGCCTTCTTGAGACTAGTTGAGTATCTGGAGCATCAGCAATTGTGGGTTCGATTACAGCCTCAAAATGTCCAGAAACAAATAACTTTCTTCTGAAACGCGTCAGTCTATTCTTGTTCTGAGAAATGAAGGCTATTCCATGCGAGAAATTGCCAAGAAACTGAAGATCACGTACAACGCAGTGTGCTACTCCCTTCACAGAACAGCGCAAACTGGCTCTAACCAGAATAGAAAGAGGAGTGGGGAGGCCCCGGTGCACAACTGAGCAAGAGGACAAATACATTGGTGTCTAGTTTGAGAAACAGACGCCTCACAGGTCCTCAACTGGCAGCTTCATTAAATAGTACCCGCAAAACACCAGTCTCAACATCAACAGTGAAGAGGCGACTCCGGGATGCTGACCTTCTAGGCAGAGTTGCAAAGAATAAGCCATATCTCAGACTGGCCAATAAAAATAAAATATTAAGATGGGCAAAAGAACACAGACACTGGACAGAGGAAGATTGGAAAAAAGTGTTAGGGACAGACGAATCGAAGTTTGAGGTGTTTGGATCACAAAGAAGAACATTTGTGAGCCGCAGACCAAATGAAAAGATGCTGGAGGAGTGCTTGATGTCATCTTTCAAGCATGGTGGAGGCAATGTGATGGTCTGCGGGTGCTTTGGTGGTGGTAAAGTGGGAGATTTGTACAGGGTAAAAGGGATCTTGAAGAAGGAAGGCTATCACTCCATTTTGCAACGCCATGCCATACCCTGTGGACGGCGCTTGATTGGAGCCAATTTCCTCCTACAACAGGACAATGACCCAAAGCACAGCTCCAAACTATGCAATAACTATTTAGGCAAGAATCAGTCAGCTGGTATTCTGTCTATAATGGAGTGGCCAGCACAGTCACCAGATCTCAACCCTATTGAGCTGTTGTGGGAGCAGCTTGACCGTATGGTACGTAAGAAGTGCCCATCAAGCCAATCCAATTTGTGGGAGGTGCTTCAGGAAGCATGGTGTGAAATCTCTTCAGATTACCTCAACAAATTGACAACTAGAATGCCAAAGGTCTGCAAGGCTGTAATTGCTGCAAATGGAGGATTCTTTGACGAAAGCAAAGTTTGAAGGACACAATTATAATTATTTCAATTAAAAATCATTATTTCTAACCTTGTCAATGACTACATTTCCTATTCATTTTGCTATATTTCCTATTCAAACTCATTTCATGTATGTTTTCATGGAAATCAAGGAAATGTTTAAGTTACCCCAAACGTTTGAATGGTAGTATATATATACGTACACATATATATATACACACACAGTGGGGAAAAAAGGATTTAGTCAGCCACCAATTGTGCAAGTTCTCCCACTTAAAAAGATGAGAGAGGCCTGTAATTTTCATCATAGGTACACGTCAACTATGACAGACAAATTGAGGGAAAAAAATCCAGAAAATCACATTGTAGGATTTTTATTGAATTTATTTGCAAATTATGGTGGAAAATAAGTATGGTGGAAAATAAATATTGACCAAATACTTATTTTCCACCATAATTTGTAAATAAATTCATTAAAAATCCTACAATGTGATTTCCTGGATTTTTTTTCCTAATTTTGTCTGTCATAGTTGACGTGTACCTATGATGAATATTACAGGCCTCTCTCATCTTTTTAAGTGGGAGAACTTGCACAATTGGTGGCTGACTAAATACTTTTTTCCCCCACTGTATATATATATATATATATATATGTATGTGTGTGTGTGTGTGTGTGTATATATACCATACCTACTGTGAAGCATGGTATATATATATATATATATATATATATATATATATATATATATATATATATATATAGGACCACTGGCAGTAACTGGGGTTCAGTTGAGAGCACAGCTTGGCATCTCCAGATGAATACTCCTCCGCTTCAATAGTAAATACAGTACATTCTATCTACACAATCTGTGGTGATTACTCATTGGACCTACTCACGTAGCTAGTGGCTAGAGAGTTAAGGCTCTCCACTCACTATGTACGTAGAGTGGAGAGCAGGGATAAAGAAACAAAGTTCAGCTAAGGACTGTGGATTTAAACCCTACCAGGCTTTTAGACCACAATGAATGAATCCCAAGAACACCTAATCCTAACCCTAATCCTAACCCTAATCCTAGAACACCACTGAACAACTTTCTTGAAGACTTTAGATTCGCCTGACCTGTGACATTTCTGATTCTCTGTATTCTAAAAAGGTCAAACATGATCATTCTCTCAGTAGACTGTTGGTGATTTGACTGATTGACTAAAAGGTCACTGAGCCATCTCAAATATGCGGTTAACACTCTGCAATCATCATGACCCGTTCACATCATTATCACTACATATCTCTAAGCATTTCTGCCTCCTCTTACCCATCTTGATGTTATGGCTGCAGCTGGTGCAGCCTGCGTTATAACAGCACCATCTGCTGGCGAGGGTTGGTACTGCTCTGTAGGCGTAGCGACTGATTCTGCAGGGCTCTCCATAGCAGTAGGCCAGGTGGGCGATTCCTGAGGGGTGTGAGCCGGTCGGGGACAGCAGCTTGGGACTCTGGACCCCACCAGGGCACAACGTGATGGGGGCCACAGGGGAGGGCGGGTAGGGCATCGGGCTGGAGCTCATGGAGGTCATGAGGGTAGAGGAGGTCTCGTGGTGAGCAAAGTGGACACAGTAGCCGGAGAAACATGGGTAAGGGTGAGGGCTTATGGTTAGGGCATGTGGGTGGGCCAGGGAACGGGGAGAGGGGAGGTAGCCCTTGGAGAGCGAATGCGCCTCAAGTTCCTCATCGCCAAAGCTCTTCTGGCCAAGGAACAGGGCCAGTCGGTGGCAGTACTCCCCCGACCTTTCCTGGGAGCAGAAAGAAGGAGTCACCTGGGTCACGACCGGCTCCTTCACAGACTTCATCGGGTAGCCAAGCAAGGATCCACACTGGAAGTCCGATCTGATGGAGCCGTTCCCCCCTGTAGTCCCCTCCCACTGGGGTTCCGGGTGGAAGTACTCCCTTTTACAGAGAGTACAGCATCTCTGAACCAGCTGTGACTGGGCCTGGGATTGCCCGTGATGGAGTTTATGATGCTGCTGTTTCTTTAGCTTGATCCTCACTACTCCACTCAGTTGGTTGCAGTTGGTCTTGGCCCTCCGGTGTTTGGCTCTGAAGGAGGTGCTGGTGATCTTGAGCAAAGCAGCGGCGTTGAGGCTGGCCTGACGCCGAGGGGTGGGACCGTACAGACTCAGCAGACCCAAGTCCTCCATCTTCATAGCCTTTTGGTATTTTTTGGAACTTCCAGTTTCAAAAATGTCTGATTTTGCCACTTTAGGACCACTTGGGGTGTTGTGTCCCAAAATGATTGCATCCTTTGCTAGATCCCCATTGGACTGTAGCTTCTTTGCGAGTCTGGACCCTTGCGGATCTTCTCTGTACAAGAGCAGACTATTCACAGCCTCCGCATTGAGAGAGGCCAGCCTCCGTTTGCGAGGTTCCACGACAGGTAATGTGCATAACACTTTTGATTGGTTGCTTGGTTCCGGCACTAGCCGATAGGCTTTGCAGGTCTTTTGTCTAAACTTGCAGGGCTTGGTCCTTCCACGCACCAGGTTATGGCTCCCTTCTTCTTTGCGCTCTATTGGCGCTTTCAGGCAGCGCTCCTCGTCTTCATCACCGCTTGCCTCCAGACGAGTGAGAAGGACGCGACAGTCGAGGCTGTCCCCCTCGCATAGATCCAACTTCCTGTCCTCCTCCTCTTCCCTCAGATCATTGCTCTCCTTCGTGCTGCCTCTCGTGACCTCCTTGGGCCTCCCTCTTTTTAGTTTTGGCCGGGCTCCCCCCACCATGGCCTCCGCATGTGGCAGACCTACCTGCTCCCAGGAGTCACTGGGGCGGTATGTGCTTGGGTCATCACATCCCTTCATACAGACCCTGGGGGAGGAGACCGAGAAATCAATAAATGGGGAGAGTTTTTTTTGCATAAACTTAGCCGACATGACAGTGGATGAATGCCCATTAAAATACTTTTTTTTATTATATTACGGCCATAAAACAGCTACATTTAAATCTGCTGAAACATTGATGTGGTTGACCACATATTTTGCAACTGGTAATTGGCTTAAAGATTAAGCCTGTAGTAGAAACGGTTAACACAGAGGGGATATGGGTTTCAATAAAGCCACAAGGTCAGAAGGATACCGCTGCTAACTTACATAGGAACATCTCGATTGAGGAATTTCCCATCAGGTGGACACAGACAGACACAGACAGACAGTCATATTTCCAGGAAAGCAAAATCTTGCCCTATCCTATTGTGCAGGTCCAATCATGCTTAAGTGATTTATCAATCAAGCTTCAGACAACTACTTTATCATCTACATCCTCACAGAACACTAGAATAAACGGGAATAAGTCAAACGTTTAGCTCTCTGGAAATACAATCAGACTCTAGTCATAATGTCTAAGGGTGGATTTTCATTCACAAATCGGAGAATTGCCACTTTCCACAGTAGCCATTGATATCTAAGACTCCCTGAAGTGATGATCATTGCCATACAATCCAGATTGAAGTAGTTTTTCCAATACTGGCTGCACTGAAATGAAACCTAAAACCTGAAATGATCCATAGTCTTCTTGAAAAATCGTCCTTAGGGACAAACCTTCTGAAGCTTGGCTTAGGATGACTTGCTTTCTCTTATGGCACTTCATATTCTATCATACTATGAACATATCATCAAATGGGCCTACGATCAATCTGCAACCATTAAAATGTTGGTGTGACTACTAAGCAAACACTTTCCTGAAATCAATGTAGGAAAACACCCATAACTCTAAACTAACTTGTCGTCACCCACAATTCATTAGTTTGATTTCATGAGGCAGCGGGAAATTCTTATGACATGAATGGAGGAGGTGTTAGTCACACATCTAAAACATAAACATCCCTACAGCTGCTGGTCTTTGTATGAAATACCACTTTGTAAACAGTAGGCTCTATACACACCAACAGTATGGCACCTTATGGGGACACAGCCTGCCATTCTATTGATGTCGTTTTCTGTTATTCCCACAAACTCCTCACACATGAGTTAGAACGGAAGTGCAGGAGATCCCCCCCCCCCCCCCCCCTAATTCTCTCAAATACAAGCCTTGTATTGAGCCTGCCTGGAGTGCCAGATAGGTGGGGTTTGCACTTTTGGGACTATTCCATTGAGTCCATTGTGCCAAGCAAGCTCAATCAAGCGCAGTATTTGAAAGAAAAACAAATACTAATTGAACCCAGGTCTGGTTATTTTTTATCGTCATGGTATCATAGCACTGGTTTCCTCCAATCTTTCACAACCAAACAGCAACATTTGCCAACCCACTACTGCGTCAATATTAGAATAAGATAAGACTAGAGGGAAAAAAATTAACTTCAAAACAGACGCCTGTGGTTTTGGTAATCTTGTTTTCAAAGTTTATGATGATTTAATTTACAAAATCAATACTAAGATGTGCATCAAGAGAATAATCCCCAAAAGTATTAAGAGCATAACCCATAGGGCACTCATCAAATCAAAACATAATTGTCCTTCTAAAAACAAGCCAACTCTCGGCAAGATGTTGTTATTTCTTCAGCATTTTCCTATTCTATAGCAGACGTCCGTTTTAAATGACAACCACAATAATGGTAAGTCGACTTGATTCTGGACAGCATTTTTAGCCTTGCATTTCCAAACATCCCACAACTTGGAGGGCCATTATTTCCGGTGGTCCATGAAATGCAATACATGAGAAAGACTAATTCGATTTACAGATAACGAGACAACAGAAGGAGACACGCATTGAGTTTCTGTCTATGGATATCGAATCAAGCTGCTTCGTTGGGATACGACAGTAGGCTAACTGAAGCACATTGTTTTCTACAGAAATGTTTGAGGGTCAAGCTCTGAATAACTTGGAAAAAGAAAACATGTATATTTCTATAGAAGGCCTATAGCGTCTAAATAATATTTCACGTTTTTTTTTTTTTTACTTTCAAATCACACCAAAAGTTGGTGTTGGTGACCAATACATTGCAAGTGGATGGTGACAAATAGCCTCCTGCTGGATATGGAATAGCCTAATAATCTAAAGGGTATCATCGTGCAACCCGCAAAGCCTGACCTACACTCAAATAATACTGTGAGAGAGGCGGAAGACCATGGATATGGTGAGGGAAGTGACCTTGCGCTACAGTGCAGTTCTCATAGGGAGTATATATATATATATATATATATCACAGAATCCATATCATCACGGTCCGTATCGTCATGGTCCGGTTTGATCAGATGAATTTACCGCCATGATGAGCACGAGGCTATCAGACCACTAGATCGGCAACACACATTATGATTAACTAATGACTCATAGGGTTCCGTATTTAGATGAGCAACTACTAATCGAATATTTCATATTATAGGCAGTCATTATGGTCTGCCCAGAAACCAAAATTATGAGATTGATAATGCACTGCCAAGATCTGTTCTAAATTATTGAGTTCGGCCATCGACATAGGCTATTCTAACAGGATGACAGGCTATGGTATAATATCTGAAGTAACGGTTCAGGTGGATGCAGGCGAGGAATAACCATGGTCACCGATTGTAAGCTTAATAAAGCGGTTATAAGCATGTTATTACAACGAATCTCACTCACATATGATTTTTATGAAATATGACGTATATGTGCTATACAATCTTACCTTCGGTCCCGATGGAAGGTCGATTTGAGTCCACTCTTAATTCAGATTACACCTTTTATAAATTATGACCAGAGTCGACGTTTAATTGAGAGAAAAAACGAGCGCCCAACAGAGACATGGTAAAACGGTGACCTACTTCCGAAGTAGCATGCTGGAGATAATATCCATGCGCTGCATTAGGAGACCGCTGTTGCGCTGGGACATCGAGTAAAATATCGTTCCAAGAGCCACGATTTTCTCAAGTTTACCGAGGTCAGAATTAACAGGCAGTAATGGCAATATCGCTCTGTTCTACCTTCAACGGTGAAGTTTTCTCCGACCATTAAACTTACTGCATGAATCAAACCTGCTTCACCACACGCCGGCGCCCTGGACTATGAAGGAATCAATATCAAGCCAAAACTTTGTTGCAAAGTCTTCCTGAATCAACCCCAATCGGAACAACTCCAAACTAAATATAAACCAATGACAACGATGGTATTGCGCGTCTTTGAAATCTAGGTTGTCCAATCAAAGTCCCTGAGATGGAGCAAATTCAGTTCAGGCTATCCAATGTCCACCCATCAAAAACATAAATGAAGGTTAAATACAAAATTTCAATCAACAGCCTGCAATGAAAGTATAGGCCTATTTCAACCTATATTAAATCCATGCCTCTTCTGCTCCTATTGCTTTGAATAACATTTTGAACATCCGCTAGGTTATTATAGTTTACTTCCCAACCATAGCCATTCTAAACATAAAGGCTCTCTGATATTTGCCTGAGGACTCAAACTGAATTATTTCAATGCTCTATGTTCGCTACGTACTTCAGTTTGAGATATCCATCATTTAAGTAGTTTGTGGTGAAGTCAAAATTAGGGTTGTTGTACAATACAAAGTAAATCAGGGATTGATCAGAGTATCAAAGCCAATGATGACTTATTCTGGATCTGGCCCAACCCATCAGTTTATGGGACCAATCAGAACGGTTAGAATGCATTTGCATTCTAGAAATAGTCGGGGAGGTACTCAGATCCAGATTTATTGCAGAGAAGAAAGTAAAGTCCGTGGTCATGGGCTAGCGTTTGGCCGGAGCAAGGAGTTTGGGTAGCCAGGCAACTTTGATATATTTTCGCACTTCAAGTAAATGGTTTGATGTTGACCTAACAATTTGGCTGAGACAACTTTATGGTAATTTTAGTATAATGTTGGCATCATGTCAAAAATCACACTTATTGGAGTAAATCATAATTGGCCTCATCAACATTAAGTTTGGAGTGTATAATTAACAGCTGTAAAAAGGCCTCATGACTGACTGCAGAGAGTAGGCAGACTGCAGAGAGCTTGACCTCCTACACTGAATCAGCACCTAAACTGCATTCCGAACACTTGCTCTTCACTTAGCATGACATTTAACACCTAAGCATATCCTTTCTGACTGGAACCAACTTGAAAAATAATGTCTTTGCGCAATGGTTTTTAATTACAGCATAGATTCATTCGGACTCCAGTTTTAACGAGACAATAGCATGCACCAATTCCCCTTATTCTGAATGAGTGAATATGAAAAACAAAAACAAAAAAAAACAACAGTCACATCTTCCTTATATCTTCAAATTAGTCAAAAAACACCACATCAGGGGTGTGTTCATTAAAGCGCAAGTGAAGGAAATAAACAACTGTACAATGTGGCCTATGAGGCATCGATATTAGTCAGAAACTTTAAAGTGCGTGAATTTCACAATTTTCCTGTTCTGCTGAGCATTCGAAATGTAACGAGTACTTTTGGGTGTCAGGGGAAATTTAAGGAGTAAAAAGTACCTTATTTTCTTCAGGAATGTAGTTTAAAAGTAAAAGTTGTCAAAAATATCAATAGTAAAGTACAGATATCCCCCAAAAACGACTTAAGTAGTATTTAAAAGTATTTTTACTTAAGTAATTATAGATTTCTTGAGTTATCTTCGATTCATTCTGACTATTTTGAGGAAGTGATACTGGCTTTGTTCCTAGGATGTCTCATGGGTGACGAACATTAGTAACTGCCACATCGAACCGAACTCCCAAGACTGAAATGTATTTTTTTCTTAATGAGCAACAGAGAAACACATGCGGAATCGGTGCGTTCAGTCGCTCTTTAAGCACCAAACGGAAAAAAATGGGTAATTTAGCATCCCTTTGAAACAACTTTCATAATCACTGTAAAGCAGGATAGATGTATAGAGTGATAGATATGAAAACAATTTGAGAAGTTTACAAAAGCTTCAAATCATTTAATAAAGTACTTGTAGTTACTAATAAAGTACTTGTAGTTACTACATCCAAAGTTATTTACCATTAATATTGACACAGCATGTCCGGTGTTGAATACTTGAATGTATAGTACAGCAGAGGTACACCAACTTCAAACCGTTTGATGCTTGCCATGAACTCAATAGGCAACCAATGTGAACATTCATTTGTACATGTTCGTGTGCACAGATTTGTAGTTGACAACATATTCAGATAGATGACACAGGAAGTCTAGTTAGCTTCAGCTCATCTTCAAAGAGCAGGGCAAGATGCCAGGGATAGTGACAGAGAGAGCTGAGAGAGTGAGCGAGTGAGAGGAGACTTGAAACTAACCACTGTGTGTGTGTGAGAGTAAGAGAGAGAGAGAGAGAGGGAGAGAGTAAGAGAGAGCGAGTAGAGAAGAGAGCCAGCAGAGGAGAGGAGAGAAGAGAAGAGAAAGAGAGAGAGAGAGAGAAGATAAGAGAGAGAGCAGAGAGAGAGTATGAGAGAGAGAGAGAGACGAGAGAGAGAGCAGCGCGACGAGAAGTAGATAGAGAGAGAAGCAGCAGAGAAGAGACGCCTAGAACGTAGCATGAGGCATAGAGAGAGTAACGGCCACTTGATAGATCTGTCCTCAAGAGTCAGAGAGAGAGGCTGCAAATCTGAAGAGAGAGACAGATGAGTAGATATGGAAAGTGAGAGTTGATTTATATTAATCAGTTATATTATTATTATTGATTAAGAGAGATTAGAGAGAGACACAGGGAGTCTTCTTGCGGTGAGCACTTTAGATCTCATCACAGTAAAACATCAACTCACATGGCAATTTTTCACTTGCAACCCGGTCCTTTGTTGACAGCTTTTCTACGCCAGTAAAAAAGGTTGACAAGCCTCTCAAAGACCATCAGGAACAATGGACCTCTGACTAGTAGGGTCTGTATTTCCGAAGATCTGAAGCGGGGAGGTGCCCAATTTCACTCATCTGTCACTTTGAAGGATACTTTATGCCATGTGCTCGGTGCTTTTCAGTGGAAGTTAAGAGACAGACAAATCCCCTCGGGCTGACAGGGGCTGACTCCTAAAACAGGAGTTACTGTCCCACACCATGTGAATCCTTGAGTGTGATAAGAGAGAAACCAGGGAGCTTCTTCTTCTCAAATCTATTGCAGCTGTGGATCCACCAACAGCTGACGTTGGTTGGTTTCAGTGGTCGTTTTCCTTGAAACAGACCAGTACATTTCACAGCTGTGGCATTGGCTTGAGTCCAGGTATTGGCTGATGTGTTTGAGGATTGTAGCGTGGCCATATGAAAACAAGTTATACTCAACCTTAGAGCCAAAGTTCAAGGACTGACAACTTTACATGTGACTTACTAAACATTCCACGCTGGGAGTATTTGCACCATCAGTGGATGCAACTTTGATGCCTTTGGTGTTTTATTATGTGCAGGGGACATAAAGGTATTTGCTTTCTGCCATCACAGAAATGTAACTGTCGTTTGTGACTGAAGGTGGTTCTCATCTTCAGAGTAGTTTATTACAAAGATGACCTCGTGGCTGTGATGTCCAACATTTTTCATCACTAAAGCACAAACTGTGTGTGTGTGTGATATCACCAATGATAATCTTGACACTCATAGAATTAGATAAGATTATAAGTCATATATTTGATTAGATCAGGGGTGTCAAACGGGTTTAATCCGGCCCGCGAGATGATTTTGTAAAGTATAAAAATTTGCCGCAGCTGGCTTGGACACATTTAATCAGAATCTCTTGCCAGGTTACCCCAACTTGACAGCCCTCGCTGCAAAACTGTTGTGCATGTTTGGAACCACATAACTTGCTCACAAAGATTTCTCTGTAATGAGCATAAATAAAACAAAGCTGCGCTCAAGGCTCATGACAAGCACTTGAATCACATCCTGAAGTTGGCTGCCACTCAGGATGTGACGCCTGATATTGATGCGCTGGTGAAAGCTAAAAGATGCCAGGTATCAGGAGTCAAATAAACTATGCAACCCCACTTAAAGTGCTACATGAGACACCCTGATATAGTTCTGTGATCTGTGATATACTTCTGTGAATCACTGAGGCATTGTGTGTTTGTGTGTTCTTTGTCCTCAGAACTTTCAAATAACTTGAGGTGTTTTATGATTAATAGTGATGTTGTGCTTTTGGACACACTGTCCTCAGGCTCCAGCTTTATGTTTATATGTTTTTATGTTGATGTTCTATTGTTTTTAATTGATTTTATTTTATTTGTATATTTAACCTATTCTTGACTCTGTGGTTCTTGCACTTGTTTGGGGAACAGGATTTCATTCTTTTTATCTACATTTCTGCCTGAGAAATGACCCCCTGATATAGTTCTGTGATCTGTGAAACAGTTCTATTAATCACTGAGGCATTGTGTGTTTGTGTTCTTTTTCTTTAGAATTTTCAAATAAACTTGACGTGTTTTATGATTAATAGTGATGTTGTGCTTGTACTATTTTGGACACACTGTCCTCAGGCTCCAGCTTTATGTTGTATGTTGATCGTATTAAAACAAAGAAAACAATCTGAAGTTGTTGTTTTTAAGTTATATATACCATGATTTTTCCGGTCCGGCCCACTTGGGAATAGATTTTCCTCCATGTGGCCCCTGAGCTAAAATGAGTTTGACACCCCTGGATTAGATGATCTGCAGAAGCATAACTGGACATAAGATTTCTGTAATGACTTGGTATGAGAAGCAGTAAGGTCATTTTCTGACAGGACACCATGAGACTCAGTCCATCATCGACACTGTAGCGAATTCGGGGTGTAGCCCCGACCGGGACTCGAACCCTGGTCCAGTGACGGTCAACCCAACACCTCAGCCATTATGCCAAGAGATCCAAACCTCTTGACGAGGTCACTAAGTGTTGGGTTAAGGTCGCTACAATC